TTACGATTAGTAAATATTGCGAAGTATTACGCTAAAAACATAAATATTACGTAACCTTACGTCGTAATATTTGCATAAGTTTACAAATCATAAATCTTACACAATACTTCGCATTAAAAATATTCCTGATGTATTCAGTTCTAATACTAATACTGTTAATGAAAAATAACAATGTAGTAATTATATAATTATATATATGATAAATTATTGTAATATATATTATATAATGTATAAGTAAAAAAATTGCTTAAAATCTTAAGATAATTAAAATATAAATATAACTATAAAATTTACAGTATTTATATAATAATATATACTTAATAATATATAATTCAAAACTATTATACAATTTATTATAGAATTTAAATATATTATATAAAATTTGTCTAAGTATTATACAATATATTTAAAAAATTTTATATTATTAACAAAGTTAATTAATATAGATAAATTTTAAAAATTTTTTATTTTTTATTTTATTTTATTATTATAAGTAATATTAGTAAAAAAAAAATTGAAATTTAATTTTTATATATATGATTATGATTAGTCAAGTAAATTAATAAAAAATATTTAACTTAAAATAAATTTTATTATTTTAAGTTTTAAATATATTATTTGTTTAAAATATAGTTGAAGACATTTTCAGTTAAACTCATTTTAATGCAATATCCATTTACCTACACATATAATCAACTAATAAAATATATTATTATGTTATTATATAATCTGATTTTTAGATGTAATTATTCTTAAATTATTTTTTTTGTAATATTATAAATTAATAATTTGAATATTATAACAGTTTTCATTACCTAGTTATTAATATTTTTATAATAAATACATTATTATTTTAAAGTTTTAAAGTATTTTTATTAATATTTATAATAATTAAAATCATTATTTTTTCTGTTAAAATTTAAAAATATATATTTTATTATTTTATTAATTGAATAAATCAAATTAAAATATTTTAATAATAAGTTGATTAAAAATATTTAAAATTTTAAACCTGTTATATAAGTATTTTATTATATAAGCTATTAATAAAAAGAAATATTTGGTTATTATTATTTTATTAAATTATATGTTATGTTAGTATTAAATAATTAGATAATTTTAAATAATTTAAATAGTTTTAAACAGTGTATAAAAATTTAAACTAAAAATTATGTGTACTAATTAATAAATTTATTAGTAAAATAAGAAAATCATATCAATTCCTTATGTAAATTTAACTTTTATATATAATAATTTGTGTATATTTTATATTGTGTAATATGTGCACATTATGCATAAAGATGGTATTGCAACTAGTTGTAGTTGATAATAAATAAGTATTACAGAATTGCAACTAATTGCAACTGATATTAATAAAAATTGAGTTGCAACTAGTTACAACACTATTTTTAATTATATATATAGATTTTATACATTAATTATAAACACTTTTTATTTTTAAATTTAGATTAACATATTTAAAATCAAATAATATATCTAAATTTATTAATATATTACATAATATATTTTATAATTAATTTAAAAATATTTATATAATATAATTATTTATAAATATAATTAATTTTTTATTAAATTGTGGATTATTTTAATAAAATTATAAAAAACAATTTAAATAAATCTAAATATAATTAAATTAAAAAAAGTAATTATTGTAATTTAAAAAATATTAATAAAATTCTTAATGTTATAATAATAAATAAAAATAAAAAATTCATTAGCTAAACAAATTTAAATAATATTTTAGAAATAAAATGATTAAAAATAATAGTAATATTTTTAAAAAAATTTTATAAATTCACTAATATTTAATAATAAAATATAATATTTTAATTAAATTAATATTTGAAAAATAAAATAAAGATATTAAGATTTTTTTTTTACTAAAAGAAATAATATTAAAACTTATTATTAAAATTTTAGAATCTTATTAATTATTATAAATTTGTAAACCAAAAAAAAATATCATTATAATTAAACTTATGTTTAGTAAAATTAAATATTAAAAACCATATATATTAATTTTAGTAATTTTAGTTTAATATATAATTTTAACTTTAAATTATTTTATAATTTATTATTTAAACTTAATAGTTTTGTTTTTTACCTTATTTAAAATATTTTGTTGAGTTGATTAGAGGATTTCTAGGAAAATCAGGTTTCGGAGAAATTTTTGACTAAAATTAAAATCTTAATGCAAACTAAAAAGCAAAAAAAAATCGCAATTTGTTCCTAGCAATCAACCCATATTAAACTTTAAGAAACTACTTTTTTAAAAAGGTATATTAAATAGGATTTTGATAAAATGAAAGCTTATAAATAATTATATATAAAAAAAAATTTTAATAAAAGTAAAAATTTATTTTATTGTCTTTGAATAAATCTTTTAAAATAATCTATTTTTTAAGTCTTTTGTCTAATTTAAAACTAAATTACGAAAATATTAAGCTTAAATTTAAAAGAGAAAAGGAAAAGTAAATAAATCCTTATTATAGTTATAGCATATCATTATAAAATTAAGATTAAATCAAAGTTCCTTAAAACTTGTTAATTTGACTTTATTTGATAAGTATAATATTCTTGCAGAACATACTAAGTTCACTCTAACGCTTCCTTATACAGATACCAAAACAATATGCCTCTTTTCTTCAATCAGAGAGGAAGATACTCTCTCTAAATTTAATTTAGTTTTGATCCTAAATTTACGGATATCCAACAAACGTTAAATTTGAAATCAAAGGAGGTGACAATATTTTTATTTATTTTTTTTTTAATATGCAAAATTTTCGTCCCATTACGAAGTACACAAAGGAACTCTTACAAAATAAATATTTATTATTATTATTATTTTATTATTCATTAATTATACTGTAAGGAGAAACTTTTATTAAATGATTAAAACTATGAAATAAATAAGTATAAAATGCGTCTCTATAAAAATTAAGTGAGTTGATCTTTTTAAGATGCCAATTGTTAATGAAATTAAAACGTGCCATTGTTGATTGTTAATCAGTAATTCATATGATCCGAACGTGGAAATCGCCCATTTTTGTCGAGCGAACGGTTTTAAAATTGTCCATTTAAAATGTCGTCATAACCTTACGCTTCTGATTTTTTTTTTTTCAACATCTTTAAATGTTGCCTATTTTGTAAATACGTAAGATTGATATCAATATAACAATAATAAATGAACTTTTTGTTATCAAGCTTTGAAAATCACCTTTGCGTAACTTTCGATTTCAAATATAAATGGGCGTTCACCAAAGTTTGCTTCAACACATTCACCCCTAGTACGCAAACCGATCATAGGATAGTAATCGCCGGGGGTAACTTCATCAAATGCAATTCCTATTCATCAAAATATCATCAAGATAAGGAAATTCATGAATCGAAAAGAATTATTTTAAAACAGTAGTATCATTACCTAACCAAATCCCGTTCTTTGTGTAAAAAGCAGTTTGATTAAAAAAATTTATTCCGCAACCAATTGTATCACCAGTTGTGAAAGTTGGACCATAAACATGTCCCGTAATTGATGATGACCGAAATTTTTTTCCGTCATCACCATGGTAGCCAAAAGTGTTTGGTTCCCATCCTGATAATAAAAAGAAAAGAACGTGTTGCTTTAATAAGAAGGTTCCTGCGGAGGGTAAAAACCACCTTCATAAAAGATAAGGTGGCGCAGTAATTTTGCCGGATCGAATCAACCGAGAACTCACCGGGTAGTTTCCAAAGGAACGCATTATGAACACCGAATCCTATACCAATAAATCTAATTTTATGAAATTACAAGTTGAGAAGTCTCAATTTCATGTATAACTTTGAAATTCATAAATGTGTTAGCATTTACCCTGATTCACCCGCGTCTGTTATAAGGACTTCAAAATAATATAAACCAATTTCAGTCGGTATCGAGTTATTTGTTCGGATTGATGCTGCATCGGCGTCATTTTGACCGGCTCCTGAATATGTCAAAGAAAATGTCATTTCAACTGTTGTAATATAATGCCAGTTCCTTTTTAACTTGCCAACCTATATATAAAACTTTTAATTTCTCGTCACCAGTTACTTGTAAACCATGGTTTGAATCGGACGTGTTCCATTGTGTGGGTAAATCAAAGTGGTCTCTTGAATTTTTATTTATCTTTTCAAATGGAGAGCCTTTTAGGTATGAAGGTAGAAAAGCCATTTATAATGTATGAATTGATATTTTATTTTAATTTTAGAAATTTGAATTATCATCTTTTTATTTATACCTACCTGAAAACGATCACCATAATCAATTAATCATTCAGGGGGTTTGTACATGAAATGAAATAAGGATAAAGTCTTTATGCGATATGACATTGTCATTAATATTCAACTACAAAATTCTTTCAAATGATTATGTACTGTGCGTTTTATTAATTCATGTTTCTAAATCTAGATGTATTGAAGATTCGCATTCGGAAATTTCCGTGCATTTTCTTTCTTTTTTTATTCCCTCACATCATTTAAAAATTTATTCATCTCCCAATTTTTCGAAAACGTAAAAATAGTTATTAGGCACAGTAATTTTCACTATAATTAATAATGGTTCTTGGGGATGAAAATCTATTTATTTCCAAATCATTCTTTTGATAGCCCCTTACTGCAGTACAAAGAAAAATGGAATCAACCTACCGATTTCTTTCTAAATTTGATTTTATACAGTAAATAGTTTATCAAGCAGGTGATAATTACTCGGACTTAATTTAACCGTTTGTTTTTTTTTGAAAACTACCTTGTGTAAATATACTTTAGTAACTGTTGATCTCCGTTCCACATTTGGACACGTAGTGCTGGGTAACTGTTATGGTAACATAATAAATGAATCATAAAGCATTGAAATAAAATTATTTATACTTGAACATTCAATTATGAAATCATCAAATCGTAAATCAGTAATTTTATTAAAATATATTATTTATATTTGGAATACCAAATAAAAAAAAAAAATCTAGTTAATGCCAATAGACATTATCTAACCATAGTTTTATCCATTCACGAGCTTTCTCTAATAATTCATTATATTTCTCATCGAAATCTTCATAATCCTCAACTTTGATCATCTGCTTAAGAGCTTTTTCGGATTTATGATAACACATGATAGATTCTTCCTTAAATTCTTCCCATAAAACAATTTCAAAATAAGCCAAAGAAATTGCAATTAACCAACATTCAACATCATCATCGTCAACTGTCAAATTCATTTGATCTAAAACGCTAGCGTTACCTTTCCCAAAAAATTCATAAAACCTACTCTCGTCCAAGATTGTTCCATCAAAGGAAAATAATTTCAAAAAACTAAATAAAGTTTCTACGTGAACGACTCTCGGATTAACCATTTCTTCATGTGATTCAAAAAGATTCTCTTTAAAATGTTTATCAAATTCCTCAACGTTTAATTCTTCCCTTGACTTTTTTACAACAGACTCATCAATAAACCTTACCACAGGTTTAACAAATAATCCGCCAAATATGGGAAAACGTTCAAATTTTCTCGCAACCTGATAAGCCGCAGAACCAGAATTAACCATCCCATTACCTAAATAGTAAATCGGATGTTTGTGCCTTATACCTAACGTTAACTTTTCATCTGAATATTTATTCATAACTTCATCTACACTATCTTTTACAAATAATACCGGATTTGAAATTAGGTTTGTTAAATTGTCGGTACATCTTGATAATAAACCGGATTGTGTATTTAAATTCTGTAAATCAATTAATTCGGATGATGTTGATATCGGTGTATAAGAAGGTGGAAAATTTTTTTTCGTGAAATCCTTAAAATTAAAATATGTGGATGAATTATAATTTGGTTTGTGATAATGAAAGATTGAAATGGGATGATTGTTAAATTCTTTCGAAGTTGAAGATTCGCCCCGTTTATTAATGGCCAAAAAACTAAAATGATATAATTAAGTTCATTCATTCATTTATTTAAATTAGTAAAGAGAATTAATGATTTTATTTCTATCAACAAATAAACTTTGAAATTAGATAGATATACCTTGTGTAAGTTGAAATTAAATTATACATTTTACCTAATGATATAACCTGATCCTTGATCTTTGGATTTGAACCAACAGAAGGCTTCCCTTGATTTTCTTCAATGAATTTCTTTGCGGCCAAGGTATGAATAAATTTTAACTTAAGAGCACGTGGATCTAACGTCACATGAAATTGAACTAAATCTTGAAATTTTGCCTTGACAGATATCACTTTAGGAGGTTTAATTCCTTTCTCTAGAAGAAAGTAAACTACTGAATTTTGCTTATTATAAATTAAAGGAATTTCTGCAGGAACTTGTTGAAGTACAGGTCTTTGATGGTTATTGTTATGGGATATATTAGGAATGAGGAATATGGAATTATCAAGTTGATGACTAGATTCTTCATGATTATCTTCAACATAATCTTCATTATTAGGGATGATATAAGTGGAATTATCAAGGTGATGACTAGATTCTTCATGATTACTTTCAATATCATCTTCATCATATATTGCATCATCATGATAATCTATTAATTCTACATCACCAATGTTTTCTGGATCTTCCAAATGAAATTCATAATCGGTTAAAGGGATTTCCAAAGAATTTTTCACGATTGAAATTAACTTTATTTCAAATGCGTCATTACATTTAGTAAACATTGAATAACCCTTTCCTAATTTGGTTAAAGATTCAAAACTATTACAAATATCATTGCTATTATCATCTCCAATGAATAATGTAAAAAAATTTGATTCGTCATTGATTGTTCTTTGCTGTTGGAACAGTTCCACAAGCTGTTCGAATTGGTGTATAATTAAATAAGAATTCGTTATGTAAAATATATTTTTCGGAATGTTTGAACGTTTATCTGATATGCCGAATATTGATTGAAGCGTAGAATGTAAATTGAATTCATTAGGATTGATTTGTTGAGATTGGATGAATTCAATAGCCGCATTGAACGTTGATTGCGAGTATTGTTGACTCTCATCGGGAAAAAGATATGTATTTTGTGATATGATATTGAAAAGGGAATTTTCGGGAAGCGAATAAATCGCTAATTCCAATGCTTTCATACATTTTCTTAATGTCTGGCTAAATGATCTTTTGACGCGTAGAAAAGCAACGTCATGTTATTTAGAATTTAGAAATAAAAACGCATGAAATCTGATTTCTACTTACACGTCAACGATGAAGATAAATTCGGTCTCTCCCGTGTAAGGCACACACTGCGGTACCAGAGTGAGCATGACACAATTCGTATCAGTGCTTGAATTATATTCAACCAATGCTCTATAAAGGTATATAATAAAAAAAAATTAACATTTGTCATGATAGCAACAAATGAAATCGGACCAATAATAATATCTTTTGTTTCTTCACCTCGGTTTATCTAATCCTTGACTTGAAAACACGAGAACGAAATCATTTTCCAAATAACCAATTTTTTCATTTAAATCAACTCTAGCTAACCTCACATTATTAGTATCAACTTCAGATATAGTTGCATGAGTGGGTGACTCGATACTGGTGATAACTGATGTCATTCTACACGTCACCGATATTTCTATTTTACAACTTTCCAACTCACATTCGTTTAAATTATTTTCAAGTTCAAAATTTTTTCCTTCAAGCTGTTTTTCTAAAGAATAATGATTGTATTTTGGTGCGATTGCTGTTGGAAGGGTAAATCGAATTCCTTCTGATTTCGTGTCTTGTTGAAGTTCCGAGACATAGATTAATTTAATTTCGATTGTTTGACCGGGTAATATTGTACCGACAAAACAATAAAATAAATCGGGAGATTGATCTTCAATCGTACATGCAATATTTCCATTCTAGCGAAAAATAATTTCATGGGTTTTTTTTTTTTTTTTAAAAAAAAAAATATATATATATTATTATTAATAAAAATAAAATACCTTCAACGCTTCTTCATATTCTTTAGTAGCTTGTTCAGCTTCTTCAACAATTCCTTTGATTTCTCGATCATCAACTTTAACTTCAAAATCACAAATTGCCGAAGAAGGGAGAATCGGGAATTTATAAATCGCTTGACTTTGATTAGATTCAGCGTATTTATAAGTCTGGTAAATTGTTACTGTGGATTAATAACCATCCATTTTATTCAAGAATACGTTATAAATTGATTCGAGATGATGCTTAAAGTTACACAACAGCGAAAAAAAATTTACCTTCGGAAATCACGTCAATAACTTTATCATAAATAGGAAAATATGGGAAATATTTAAAAAAAAAAAAAAATTATTGAAAATCTTTTTTACAAAACAACAAGTTTGAGAAGAAGCCAACCTTTCGCCGAAACTTTAACATTTTGCAAAGGAATTGGTTTGTGCTGTTGAATATTTTTCTCAGAAGCTGAAAATAATCCATATGAATGCATAATGAAGAAATAAAGTAATGAAGACTTTAAAAAAAAAAAAATTATAATATTTGTAAATAAAAAAGGGGGAATTATTTAAGATTATTCATCGATATGCATGTTTAAAGAAATTTAGTTAAATTAAAAAAGATCAGGTGAAAATCATTTACGTATTTATTTGTAAATAGGTATTTTTCTCATTGAATCACCAAAATTGGCATTTAAAAGTCGGAGCATTTGATAATCACTCTATATAAATAATAACCTTTTCTATAACAAGACAATCTTTAAGACATTATTCAAATAATTCATATTTTACACTAATACTGGTTGGAAATGAAATAATTTTATGTTAAATGTTGATTCTTTGACGAAATTTTTTTCCTTGCATAATAAATTGAGTAAATTCACTACCTCAAAGACTTTTGTTCTTGTTATTATTATCAACATTATCATTAATATTATCATTAGGTGAAGCATTGTAAAAATTTAAGAATGTAAAAACTTATAAGCATGATATTTTCATTATTTTAGAATTATAATACTCGGGATAAAATAAAGTGAAAGATGGTTATAAGTTTTAGAATCATGAACCATTAAAATTAATGTTTCAGGAGACCAATTTAATGGACTGACCATTCGATTAGTACATTTTTCAGCACTGATTTCATGAGAAAAAAAACAAAAAAGATAATTTACATTTTATTTTAAATATCCAAATAAAAAATACTAGTACTAAACGTTCTTAATATCATAAATTTTTATGCTAATTGAATAATATAATAATGAATGTTCGAATAGTCAAACACACTCATTTAATTAATTTGATTAATCCTACACATATCTATGGCTTTAGGCTGATTTTTCTTAGCGGCTTCTATTAAATAACTGGCTCCTTTAAGTTTATTTTGTTCAACAAAATTGCCATTCCAATAGGCGCTTCCAATGTTATACATGGCAGTAGAATTTCCGGACTCGGCAGACTTTTCTAAATATTTAAAAGCCTCAGAATAATTACCATTTTGCCATAAATACATTCCATATCTTAACTGTGCAGAAGGATTCCCTTTATCAGCTGTCTCTCTAAATATTTCTAAAGCCATTCTATTCCTTTCTTGTGGATCCATTTGTTGTAACTCGGGAATTTCCCCATAATAATAATAATATCCTACCCAATATTTTGCATCAATATTAGTTTCTGAATGATGTTTGAAACTTTGCCATGCTAACTGTTTATTTCCATTATTTGATTTATGTTCCTGAATTGCTTTTTCAACAGAGAGAATTCTAGTTGGTTGAGATATTGGATGATTATCTATTGTTAAATCCTCATCATCTTTTGAATTGGGTAAAGGTGAATTAGGAATTGAATATTTTTCATTTAGATCTGAAAGTGTGCGACAAATAAGAAATATTGTAGGACGCCATTGTGGTTCTTGTTCCATAGCTAAATTGAAAAAAAAATTATTTAGAATTGAATTCCTAAATTATAATTATAACCTTTTTTTTTTTACTTGCCCATTTTTACTAAATATTTCCACATATCGGGCACTTCAGCTGAAAGTGGCTCACGATATTTGTCACGAACACGTTTCCTAATACTAACGAGCATTTCTGATTTACTAAGGTCAGAATGTGGTTTTTTCAGTTCCGCAATTTCCCATAATAATGCTCCTACACTATTAAAAAAAAAAAAAAAGAGAGACACAAAAATTAAAAGTAAGAGAATTTAAATATTTGTAAGTAAAAGAAATATCATTTACCTATAAATTTCACATTTGGAATCATAAGGAACTTTTTTTCTTTTCATGTCATTATTAGCACGTTCACCTTGTGTAATGTTATTTTCACTTTCATCTATTAGTAGTTTTTCAGGAGCCATATACCTCACATTTTCAATATTATGTGAAATGTTTCTGGTAAATTCCGAAAACTTTTTACTTAAGCCAAAATTTGCTATTTTTACTTTATTATCACTATTTACTAAAATATTTGCAGATTGAATATCATGATGAAGAATCTACAAAATTTTATTTTTTATATTTATTTTAAAAAACAATAAAAACGTTTCAATGAAAGAAATAAAAAAATGAAAAAGAAAAAAATGTTTACTAATTACCTGACAACCATTTAGGTAAGCAACCCCACAACAAATATCCAAGGCAAATCTAATTTTAGTTTGCCAAGTCATCATATCTCTACATTTGGTATAATATTCATTTAGGTTTCCATGTTCCATCCACCCCGTAACTAGGTAAAATTTATAATTTTCTTGAGCCACGCCAAAGAATCTTATGATGTGGTCAGAATCTTTTAATTCCTTAAGAATATTAACTTGCCTTCTAATTTCAATTTGAGACTGATCCAAGACAGAGGAAGAAGAATTATTTGAAAATTCTTTAAAAGAAACACGTTGAAAATCATTTTTTGATATACGTTCTTCGATTTTCTTTGAATGAAAGTTACCGGTTTGTAAGTAGTTACTTCCATCGAGCAATGGCTCATCCTTGTCTATGCAAGTTATCAAATCAGATGAATTCGCGTCTGTATGCCTATTCTGTTTTTGAAATTCCTTGTTTTTTCCGGTTACAGCATCCACTCCTTTGAAAAACTCATCATGAGATTGTTTATCATTACTAGTAGAACCATTGATATTTAATAACAAGTTTCTGAGTTGTTTAATTTCATCTTTAATCGTTATCAATTCCTCTCTGGATTGCATAGTGAAAGAGAAATTAAAACTATTCATACACCCTTCAAATTCTTCTACAAGTTTGGTAAAAGTATCCTCAATATTATTAGCCAAGATATATTTCTTAAGTTTACTTAATTGACTAACATCGGCAATAAATTTTTTGATTCTTTTCATGCATTTAATGAACAACGTAAACAACTCAAGATTTTCTTGTTTAGAAAAGAAATTTGCATGTTCGGTTTTCCTAATATCTAAATCTTTAATTGCGGAAACTGCACAATTACATCTTTGCAAAAGGAAACTACAGAGATTTTTATTATGTTCGGCCTTTTCATATAATTTTATGATTTCTTTACCTAATTCAAGGAATGAATTGATTAATGGTGCAAATAATGCAAAGTTTTGAGCGACGTCAGCGGCGTCAGATGCGAGTGCGCTCGCTATTGGTATTAAATTATTCGTAAATGATATCGTATTTTGACATGCGTCCAGCGTGTTTTCGGTATTTTCTAAACATAAATTTTTCATTTTACTTGATACTTCACTCGTTTGTAAATTATTTTGTGTTGGGTCATTATTAACATATGAAGATGATGATGAAGATGATGGAGAAGGAGATGGGAAAGAAGTCGCTTCATCTATGGAATCTATAGCCATATTATTATTTCCTTCATCCACATTAATTTCAATGCGAGGATTCTTTGGCTCTCTCTCAGATGGTTCATTATCACTCTCATTAACGGGTTGACGTTTTTTACCTTTATTAAAAATTTGTAACCTTTTTGATAGTGACATTTATTATTATACGAAAATTGAAAGGAAAAAAAAAAAAAAAAATTTTTTTTTTATTTTTTAATGGTAAACGAAATTCTTAATTTATATTTTGGTGCCTCAACGTACGTAAGTGTACATGCAATTCGTCAAACATTACTTTCCAATTTGGTAAGACCTTGATAGAAATTAAACCTTCTAAAGAGAATTCCAGGTCCCGTTTTCATTGTTTTCTTTCTTTTTGTTTTACTGACAATTCTATACAGAAGCAACTTGTACGGCCATGTGTAAATGACAAAATTCCGAAAACGGGCAACATCCTGATCTACAAAATCATGGACATTTATGGTAAGAGGGTACCATTGGTTCCTTTTCGTGTTAATTGTTTTTTGTTGTTCACAATAACGAAAATTTTATTAAAGGAATATAGAAAAAATGAGATCGTGAACAAATGAAAAAGAGATGTTTATCATCATAATAACACCTGAAATGTAGTTGTAGAGATATACAAACTTCGACTCCTTTAATATTTTAATGCAATAAGCGAACCTTTATTACTTGAGATTTACCGGTATTAGAGAGTATTTGACTCTGAACTTGCCAAGTTTAAGGTCGAGATTTGAACGTTTTTAATAAGTTGTTTTAAAATCTTAATTTTGTTTTAAGCATGACATACTTTGGTTGAGTTTTTGTAAAAGATAAATTGAAAAAAAAAAATTAATCCATTTGTCATTGTTGTCTTTGTTACTGGCTTTGGTCATGAACGTTAATTTTGAGCGATAACTACATGGAATACTTTTGATAAAATAGTTTGTATTTATGGAAATTATAATATGAACCGCGTGTAGGTATTGTTGGACATTGAACTTGCGACTTATTTATCAAGGAACATATCCTTATGACTTTTAAAAATCATACTAACAACATACCAAAGTTAATGATGAATCTTACTTGAATTAAAGAATTTCTTGATATATTTCCATGAGAGAGACATTCACCCTACAATTCGGATTCTAAACCGAGAATACTGGCCCTTGTTATTTATTTTTTATTTTTACTAATCAAATCATCTTTGGTGTCGTGCGGAAGCTTATTGGGAATTTTTTTTTTTTGCTGATACAATTAATATAATTATTTTTTTTTTTAAAAAAAAAAAAAAAAAAAAGAATTGCCAACTTTTATTATTAGCACTTTTAGAACTCGAGACATTTTTTGGAATGGGAACATTATATTTCATAGAGACCTGTTTTAATTAAAGGCGGCAATGAAGAACCCCCTTATTTCATATCTTCTTTTTAGATCCATTTATATAACCTTAAGTTATTCCTCATTTTTTTTTCACAAGCTTTATTATCCTCTCCATTTGTACTGTTATTAACCTAGCAAATGAAGTAACTGAGCATTTTTAAGCGGTTTGTCCCTTCGTTATTTTAGAATAATTAAGAAATGAGAATATTATTAGAAGTATTTGACAAACTCTAGAATGGTCGGTTTATTTAACGAATAACTGTATTTACAACATTCAATTAATATCGGTTAAAATCAAATGAATGTTAAAAAATCTACAATAAGACCCGTAAACTTATTTATCCTATTCGCCCAAAATATATGAACTGGACGAATTTCGTGTATAACTTGATTGAATATATCAATTAAAGAGGATTATTTGAAAGGATCAGATAATAATATGTCACCCTTGCCCGATTTTATTAAATGTTGAAATTGTAGGAATAAATTTACATTTATTTTAACAATACATGCATAGTTAAATAATACAAATTAAACTTGAGTGTGGTTAATGATTAATGATTGATATGATTATAATTTTGGTTAATTAAAATGATATGAGAATATTATTAATAATTATATATATAAAAAGATATTTATGACGGGAGTTTCGTTTTAATCGTCAATAGTCCAACGTGATTCGCCTTTACTTTCATCACTAACATAACTAATCTTATCATTTGACAGAGATGTAACGGGGAATGGATGAGACGTCGAGGACGAAAGTGTATGTATCGATTGTGCTGACGGAATATTTAAAGTAGTTACATTCATTGTCGGACCATTAATATTAGTTGGTCTTTGTTTCATCCTATTCTTATAATTTTCAACTAAGGATAAAATTTAAAAAAGTTAAAAGTGATATTTCAAGGGAGCATTATTCTTCTTCTCTAAATACTTACTGATTTCTTGAAGTCCTCTATCAAAATTCGTTACTACTATAACCGCATAGATCAACGTTACCTATTAAAAAAATAAAAATTATTAACACAAGGGTTTTTTTTTTTAAAAAAAAAAAAAGAATGTCTTTTAATAAGTTTACAAACCATAGCGATTACCAAAAATACGCTTGCTATTAATTAATAAATTCCAACAAATTAAAATTCAATATTCAAAATTATGCATGCAGTACAACGAGATAATGTAACTTACTAAAAATTATTAAAAAGTATGATCCAAGTAGTAATAACATAATAGACGAATAAATTAATAGACAATAATCAACTATAATAAATATCCATAATACAATAAATGCTATCATCCCTTTCTTTGATTCTTGACTCACCTAAAAACAAAAATATATATATATATAACTTTCCCCTTTTTAATAAGTAATGCGAGGATATAAATGAAGATAAAGATTACTCACAGATCTATATGCAACAATTTGTAAGGCTAAAGCAAGCACAGTGGCCAATACATGATATATAATCAATATCCTTTTAACTTTGTCGATACCAAATATATGTATTGAATATATTATAGTAGGTATTATATATATTATCCAAAAAAACAAATTCAATTTGAGTAACATTATAAATATCAAATTATTCCTATAAATCCCTAAATAATTATCACATAAAAAGGAATTAGTAAATAAAAAAATCAATCTATTTTAAATCAAACAAATGATCAAATAACACTCACTCTGAATTTTAAAGTCACCACCAATTTTCTTATAAATACTCCAACCAAATTGTAGATACAATCTATATGTTATGAATATAGTTATTATCGAAAAGATTGACAATACTACTATTTGCGGCAAATCCACTTTGAATAAATCCATGCTGAAACCTTTCGTTAAACTGTTATCATTATTTATTAATTCCTGCGTTATTTCACATTTTTTTTGTTTTTGTATTCTGTCCACTCGAAACTTAACTTCGAGCAATTGAACCTTTTGACAAAAAAAAAAAAAGTGAATGAATTTTTTTTTTTAAACAAGTTGTTAAAACAGTCTGTCTCGTTACTACTTACCACGGTGTAAATCGCACTTCCAACATTTAAACCGGCAAGTGTAATGATTTGAATTATGTGTTCATGAAATATCTACATAAAAAAAATGGGGAAGAATAAAATAAATAATAATAAACGGTTGAACTCTATTCTTGTTCAACGTTAAAATTTCTTACCGCATTTACTCCGAAATAAATCAGATAGAATTGTAATATCATAAATATCGAACTTTGTATAAGCGAGAAAACGAATAAATAATCACTCGAACGAGGATCTTGATTTCTCGCCTCCTTATCACATTCATATAAATGTTTAAATCGACTATTATTATATAATTCATCATTTCGTTTTAATATCCTTAATTGAAAAATCATCACTAGAACAAATTGAATCCAAAGTATTATGGCGAATAATTTTGTCCATTTCGAAGAAGTTAATCTGTTCCACTTTAAAAGATAAAACGAAAAAAGAAAATAAAAAGGGATAAAAATAAAAGCAATTGAGAAATCAATTTTTTATTATTTTTATTTCTGATTCTTTTAATTCTTACGTACTTTTCTTTTCATATGTTCTTTACTTTCGTCAGTTATTAGAAAGCACATTTTTTAAAAATTATATTAATAAAATAAATAAAAAAAAGACTTTTTTTTTTAAAAAAAAAAAAAATTTAAAAAATTTCAATTCTAGGTATAACAGGAGATTTCTATATTTGATAAATGACGCCTACTTAACAATACTTTCAATGAAGTTCGTAATCTAATATAACGTCATTTGTGAATCATACGATATAATTTCAGACAATCATCTAACCAAAATTAATTTAAATGATCAATGCCTAAAAGGAGACTAATGGGCGTGAGCCGAACAAAAATCAAATTCGGGCTAATAATATGAACTTTTGTACACACATTGTGAATCGAATTTTGAAAATTTTGAAGTTTAATTTATGATTCTAATATACGAGGTATTTAAATATTTGTTTCTAACTTATTACTTGTGAAATCATTGCAAAAAACCAAGTTTGAAGTCACTTTATTAAGAAACATTCTAAATTTAAACAATTAATTAATTGAAGCACTATTCTGTATATGCCAGTCAAAAAATTACCAAGTCAAAAGGAAGTCAAATAATTTATAATTTTTTTTTAAAAAAAAATTTATCATGATGATTGTTGTCCTTCATCATCATCAATAACAATTGATTGGATATCTAAGATTTGTTCACATTTCATTTTATTGCTTGCGACTAAGAAAATAAAAAAAAAAAAATTTTAACATTTTAAAGTTGCGATTAAGATTAAATTAATTGGTTTTTTACTTACTTGCTTCTTTTAAACCTTTCCCGAAATCATTTTTAACATGCCAGGCACACATAAAAGAGGCAAATGACACACTAAAATACACGGAAGCTAAAGCAAAGGGGGAGATAAAAAGGTTGGTCCGTATTATCAAAAGATCTTTTTCATTTTTAAAATTACTTAAATTACTTACTATATAAACAAGAGAAATACCATCCATTTTCTAATATGTACATGACTCCAATAGCGCATAAAGAAATGTTATAAAATAAAACAATGATCCATAAATATATGAAATATAACATTTCGTGTACAGTTTCATTATCCATCTAGATCGAAAAGAAATTTTAAAACAAATTTCAAACTCTTCAAATGCATGACAATAATAATTATACTTACAGAAATACAAGCGATATGAGTTAATTTAATGGATAAAGCGGAAACAAACAAATATACCAAATTAACAAAAACTAACAAATAATTTTTGTTCATGATGAATTTTAATGAAGTATAAATGAAAAGTATAGAATGGACTGTTGAAAAGAAAGCGGTAAATTTTAATAATATCTTCAGTATATGTCTCCTTTTCAATAATGGCAAGAGGATTTCATCTTGACCAATTTTCTTTCGAAAATAATACTCTATACCAAATGACGGATATATTTTGAACGATAAATAGCTGGTTAACATCGCAAAACATGTATATGAGATAAAGTGTGGCAAATCGTTTTCTAATATTTTGGAATCAATTTGGGTTAAACATGCTTTCCTTGCAAATTCAACTGGAATCTTTACTTCAAACATTTGTATCTGTGATCGATGAATAGGATACGATGAATAAATGAAAATATGCCAATCAACAGTTTAGAAAACTTACCATTGTATACACGTATCCTCCGACATTCATTAAGGCATACGCACGAATTTGCAATACATCCTGGTTAAATATCTAAGGGAAAAAAAAAATGATTCTCGTGCGCGAATGATTCGTTAAAAGGTATCCAAAAATTCACTTACTGAATTAAATCCTAAATACGTTAAAAATGCCTGATATGCAACAAATAAATAATTTTCAAAAGAAAAGAAGTTAATATAATCTTCAACAAATCGCCTTCGATAAATTGGACAATGGTCAATTATAATATTTAAAGATTCATTTAAATTATAATTACGATGTGATAATCTAGATTGAAATAAGGTTATAACTATGAATTGTGATATTATTGCTATTGAAAAAAGATTTAATTGTAATAATAATTTGATTTTATCGAACTTTATAGAAAGAAGAGAGAAAAGATCAGCAAAAATCAAAAAGTAAAAAGATTCTGTGAAATATTCAATTAATACCTTTGATTTATAAATTTTTATCTTGTTAAAGGCCATCTTCTATTAATTTTGCTTTCCGGAAGTTCGAGTATTGTCTTAATGTATCGAGAGCGGTAATTTAAACATATATCAAAGAAAATTTATTTATTATTTTTAAAACAAGGGATCAAATAGTTCGTTATTTAATAAACATTCTGGAGTTGATGCATTTTATTTCAAAGTTGGGAATCCGAAAATCATTATTTTAATATTTTAATGAAAATGAAGAATGAGAAAGAACCTATATTAAGTGCGTTCTTCAATTTACATTTTGTGTAGTTACTACGAAATACGCATATAGTAAAATTTTGATTGATAACCTTTCTGTGAAACCAACAGATGAATTAACATTTGCTCGGGAATTAAAAAATTTTATTAAAAGAACGCTACATATTTCTTTTTTTTTTCCAAAAGAAATGATTTGTTCTCATAATGCTTTGGGAATTTAATCATTTGAAGACAAAGCTAGCTAAAAAGCAACAAAATTTAATTAAACATTTTAAGCTTGATCGGATGATTTTCATCATTTAAACAAGATCATTATTGCTTTCATTATAAACTCATTTTGTAATACTCAAATAATTGAAATGATTAATATGGTACTAAATATAGTGTTAATACTATTTTTTTTTTTTTAATGAAAAATCACCAAAATATTTTTATTAACGAAAAAAGATATATACATTAAAAAAAGCTATACTAAAAGAAACATAGTATTGAACTTTAAGATGAAAAAGAACAGCGCGAAATAAACAAAATTTATGTACAGGAATATGGAAGCCCGTTAAAATAAATAATATTTACAAAAAAAAAATAAATTTTCTTTGCACAAATAAAGCAACATTTGAAAATTTGTTTTTGGGCCTTTCCTTTTCAATTTTTTTAATATTTCTTCTTCGTTTCGTATTTGTACTTCGTTTCGTATTCGTCTTCGTATTTGTCTTCG